GAGGAGGGAGGAGGGCAATGAGCATGGGTGGAGGCTGTCTCTTATACACATCTAGATGTGTATAAGAGACAGGTGTGTGTGTGTGTGCGTATGTGTGTGTGTGTGTGTGCACATTACCCATAACTACCGTTTTCCCCTGAACATAACGCACCCTGATAATGAATGTATACAAGCTATCTTTCGGGTCCAGTACAGGCAAAATGAAGGTGCATTCACAGCCCTCATTGTTGGTTGGTGGGTTTCTTTTTTTTTTTGCCCGATTGCGAATTCAACCCGGTTGAGGTGTGGGACGTGACTCCAAGTGAGGCCTGGGACATCCTGTTGTGGCCCGTTTGATGCCTGGGATGCCCGGGACGCCTGGGACCACCTTTTCCAACTGTGGCCCTGTCTTCATTTACCTTTCGTGTTTTTTATTTGCCTTTTCAAACTGCGGTCATGTCTTCATTGCCCTTTTGTGTTTTTTTTGCCTTTTCCAAACTCAGATGCCACATAAACGCACTTGCCCCCCAAAAAGAAAAGTAAAAGGCAGCTTGATTTACTATGACGATGACGGACGAGGGAGGAACGAGGGAAGAGGAGGGAAGGGGAGTAGGGACGACATTCAATTCTTCATCATATACCACCTGTCCAACAAACGAGTAAAGGAAAAGATGACACACCCACACCCACCCACCCACCCACACACACACACACACGCACACACACACCAAATGACTAAAAAACCAGTGACAAACACCTTCGATTCGTCATCATATACCACCTGTCCAACCAACGACTAGACGAAAAGATGATGTGAACACACACACACACACACACACACACGCCCACACACACACACACACACACGCACGCACACACACACACACACACACCAAATGACTAAAAGACCAGTGACAAACACCTTCGATTCGTCATCATATACCACCTGTCCAACCAACAAGTAAACGAAAAGATGATGTGAACACACACACACACACACACACACACACACCACACACACACACACACACACACACACACACACACGTGCACAAGTGCAGGGGCAATGATGACAAGAAGACAGCCATGGTGATGGTTCGGTTAGGAGCCGACAATCGAGGAGGAGGAGAGGGATGGGTGACGAGGAGAAAGTTGGAGGAGGGAGAACGAGGGAAGAGGAGGGAAGAGGAGTAGGGAGGACAAGGACTACAACRATGGACGAGGATAGAGGATGGASGCTGGAGGAGAAGAGAGGAGAGCGACGAGCATGGATGGAGGAGGAGGGAGGAGGGCAATGAGCATGGGTGGAGGAGGAGGGAGCAGCGATCCATGGCGTGGCGAACTTGAAGACTGACTGCGGCACCATTTTTCCCTGGCGGCACGTGAAATACCTACCATTTTCGAGTTCGAATTCCTGTCCCGACTGCTGCAAGGGCATCACAGAAAGATGTGTGCCCCTCGTGAGGGCATTTCAAGGACGGACCCACGAAACGCCACCAGCGGTCCAGTAAGGGCATATTGGAAAGTTATGCCCCATGCTGTTTTTTTTTTTTTTTTGAACAACTCGTGCTCCATCTATTGGTGGCGAGCAGCACCTGCTGGAAACCGGGTCCAGCGTCCCATAGATACAACCATATCCTCACAAATTGGCACGCGCTGGGAACTGGGCCCAGCGTCCCATTACGAGTACGTTCAGAAAAGTCATCAGAAAAATTCATGAAAATGAGAACTAGGAACCTACTAGAAAAGTCCAGTTGGCCTAAGGATGGGGTTTTGGAAATTGAGATACCGAGGCCAGGCTCAAAGAATTTGGAGCTACTTCAGATCTGTCTATGACAACTTCATGAGTAAGCAAAACTCAGAACGACTCAGAAGATCCCCCATCAATCCACTATTACCTTACTCCGGCAAGACTGACTGCAGCGGAGCCACCATCTCTGCTGCTGCTGTACCATATTCCCATCCTACCAGCTAGCCCCTTCACTGGCAGGACGCGTGATAACCCACCATCTTCTCATATTCAGCAATTAGTGGAAGTCCTTCAAATACTCAGAACCCCTAGAACCCCCCACAAAGACACTCTAAATTTTTCTAATACTGTCTTCTTCCCTGCCGAGCTCTCCCAGGCCTCATGCCCCCACCCTGCTAGGTCACAGGGCAACACGACTCACCCCAGCTCCGGCCAGCATCGTCCCGACAGCAGCCCCTGGTTTTCCCTTAGGATGCCCGGCCCAAAGCATCCCCAGATCTCTCTACCAGGCCTCAAACTCCTGCTATTAACAGGTTACAGGGCAGTCCCCCAGCACCGGCCAGCGTCGTTCTGGCATCGAAAAACCAACGGCTCCATGAGTAAACAGCATCGAAAAAGCCTAGACTGCTTTGCAAGAAGTACCCAAGGTCCTAAAGAATTCTCAAGACTACCCTAGAAGTAAACCGCATCGATCCTACAAGTGCTCAGAAGCCCTCGAAATCCCTAACGCACCCTTCCAAGGCTCTCCAACACTGTCATACTCCCTGCCGAGCTCTTCCAGGCCTCATACCCCCACATCCTGCTGGGTTAAAGGGCAACGCAACTCATCCCAGCTCCGACCAGCGTCGTCCCAGCAGCAACCCTTGGTTGTCCCGTGGGATGCCCACCCCAAAGCATCCCCAGATCTCTCTACGAGGCCTCACGCTCCTGTGTTAACAGGTTACAGGGTTAACACCCCAGCACTGGCCAGCGTCGTTCTGGCATCGAACAACCGCAGGTCACTGAGTATAACAGCATCAAAATCGCCTAAGACAAGTTGCCAGGAGTCCCCAGGGTCCTAAAACACTCTAAAGACCACCAACAGCTTACTTATGAAAAGACCAGAACCAACTGAAATTATCAAACCTAGCACCGCAACAAGCTTGAAATCAAGGATTCCAAACCGAAACCATCGACGAACAAACTACCATGCAACAATTGGAGAAAAAACAAAGTTCCCGCGATCAGTCCTCGAACCTAAACGCGGCAGGTCTCATAACCCCCTATGCTAGGGTTACAGGGCACCACCATGCCCCGGTACCGACCATCCTGGTATAGTCGGCCAGGAGTGCCTTCCTCCCTCGACAACTCCTGTTAGCCGCACGCCCCTAGGTGACAGGGATAAAACCCCGGCAGCGGTTGCGTCGAACGTGTTGGTTCTGCCTTCCTCCCTCGACAGAACTCCCCAAGCCTCACGCTCCCCCAGGTTACAGAGCAACGCTCCAGCACCGGCCTGCGTCGTCCCAACCACGTCCTTCTGACCTACTGACGAAGACTAAGGCCCTTCCCTTGTTGCACCCCCCTACGAACTTCCACCCATCAGTGCGAATCCTCAAACAGGTTGAAAGAATGAACAAATCTCAAAAGAATTATGTGGAAGTTTTCCAGCATCAATTTTGTGAGACAAATCGGTGCAAAGCAAAATTAGTCTCCGGAAATTACACTAAGAAATCAGTTTTTAGAAATCAAAATTCAGAAACAAAATTTTGAGATAAAAACTACCAATTCCAAATAGACGAAATTCTAACAGGCCACAGAAAAAAGCGAAAATACGAAAAGCGAAAAAAACTACCTACATAGATGCTAATTCCAGCCAAGTGGGTAAATAAACAATAAAACCAGACTCAATACGCAAGCCTGTAGAGGGTGTCTAAGCTCTCCAACACAACTTCCAACACAAGGCTGTCATGGGCATCCAAGTATTTTCCACTTCGGCGCCCTGCAACGAACCAAACGCCGGCAACAGGACAAATTAGGGCCGCCCACTTATCATAAATTCAATGCGTTTTCAGTTCAAGCACGGCGTCGTAGAAAATACCACTGTCTTACATCCCTATCCCAGCCTTCCAATTTACCTCACACCCTTCTCCTCACCAAGCATCAAGCCAAAGCCAGCAACAGATCAAATAGGGTTGCCCACCTATAAAATCACGAACCATTTTGCTCGAGCAAGGTATTCCAACATCGAACCAGTGAACATCAACCCTAGAAGAGGATTGTCAACGTCACAAATAGCAAGGAGCCAACGTGAGGACACGCAGCTGCAGGCATCGGAAAGGAAAATCCCACAAAACACGCAGGCTAAACAAGGAAAGAGCGAAGAACAAGAAAAATCAGACATAAGGAAATAGCGAAAAACAAGAAAAATCAGACACACCTAAATCAAAGCATCCGAACAAAACGCAACATGCAATTTCGGAAGCACCCCTAGCACCGAACCTAACCCTCAACAAACGATGCATGCCCGATGCGTTCTTCTTGGAGAGGATCTTCTGATCATCTTCAATCTTCATCCCCCGGCGATAGCTCCTGTTATTCCGACCTCAAGTCGTCACCTAAAGCAGCAGCCAAAAAGTCAATGCCTAAAGCGACATCTTCAGCCAAAAAGTCAACGCCTACAGTGGCTTCTTCAACTAGTACATCTTCAACCGAGACTCCATAACGAAGACCAGACGGGCACCAGCACGCTGATCAAGCTCCATACCTGGTAAAGGATCATCCTCCTGTGAGCACGCCACACCCACACACCAACACACTCTTGACTCAGCACGCCAGTATAACCACGCCTAACCCCATGGCTAGGAGCGGCATGGGCGGATGAGACCAGTCAAGCATGGCGACTCAACCGTGGCGGCACCCGCCGCTGGCTGCAGCCCGCAACGTCGTCGCCTTGCCTCACCCAAGCAGCTTCGGGCTATTGCGCTAGGCCAGTCTGCAATGCTCTCCCGCAGTCCGCTTTTTCCGCAGCTCCGCTCTTATACTACACTTGATCTTAGCCTATTGAAGCCTCATCCTATTCTGTACCAACAGTTTTTGTTTTTTTTTTAATAATAAAACTACATTATATTCTTCTCTCAAATTCTTTCTCTTTGCCTTTCACTACCTACCTACCACTACTCCTTGGGCTATATAGAGGGGACCCCTGCAAGCATAGCTACCTCACAATGAAGGGATTGCATGTTCCCCCCCACCCCAACAGCTGTAGTCAGAGATGGGGTGGGCCCCGGTGAGGGCCCGGCTGACGCGAGAGCATTCTGCCAGCAGCCGCACCTCCCTTTTCAACAGTTGGCTGTACAGCATTCAGCCATATGAAAAAAAATACAAAGAAGGGGAAACTACACGGGAGTCACAAAAATGAGTTATAATTGCACTATGGGCCAAGATACAGTTTCAAATTGCAGTCCGGGCAATGTATACAACCCACCTTTCTGTCCAGGTAGGGTGCCCGAAGTGCAATCGCAAACTGTATCTTGCCCCATAATGCAATAATTGTGACTCCACAGGAGTTACCCCTAAAAAGAAAATAAAAAAAAATCAGCTGCCACGGGGTACTCTGTATGGCTGGATGTCACCAAGTGCCTCCCTGCGCTTTGGCATTTCTACATATGTTTCAGTGGGGGGAGAATGGGGGCTGGGTTGGGTTGTATCTTTCGATTGACTCCTGCAACATAGGCTCACTTCTGATTGGATGGACCCTCTAAGGGAATACTCACACTAGCACTTTTGTCCAAAATGGATGCGACCGCAATATCGACCGGACTTGGATGAATCCAATCGCAATAACGTCCAGAGCTTTGTAGAAATTGTCAGAGTGTGAGAATGGCCTAAGGAGACGGCATAGCTACACTTGGGCGTTTATCATGAACTTGTTGAAATTGTGGCTACACGTGTCCACCCGAATACAACGCCCAGGTCATTATCCCTCTGTTTCCTGACCAACAATTGCGTGCGCGGAATACAGCTGCGGCGACCGGGGGCCAAGTCCCACTGGCAGCGTTGAGTTTCCTCAACGCCTGAATCCGGACGTGTTTGTGACTATGTGCGGTTGAGGAAACTCAGCGGGATTTCTGCATAGCTCCACAAACACTTCCAGATTCAGGTGTTGAGGAATCTTAACGCTGTTAGTTGGACTTGGCCCCCGCTCTACAAACACTTCCAGATTCAGGTGTTGAGGAATCTTAATGCTGTTAGTGGGACTTGGCCCCCGGGGGCCACGTCCAACTTACCCGAATTCTCTAATTCTGAACCAAGGCCTGTGTCTGAAAACGGTGGCCGCGACCACCCAGGTCGTGTCGCAAAAAGGTCTTGCGCGGCCTGCGCGGGCAGGAAAAATGATGAGTGTAGAATTGTGTAGAACTGCAATCACTCAGGGCATACTCACACAAGGACCAAAAGACCCTAAATCCCAAAATTTGAGTCAGTTTTTGGGTCACACTGGAGAGGCCCGCTACCCAAATGCCTCAAATGGTGATCCTTTTGTCAGCTGCATGCGGGGCCGCGGGAGGACCCTTTTTGAGACCAGCTCCAGAGGTGGTCTCAAATTACCATGAAGACAGCCCACCAAACAACTGAAAGTGTCACCAGAAACATTTCCGTGGTAGCGAAGGCCCACGCGTGAAAAGAAAAATAAAACAAATTCCATCTTTTGTTTGGTCCTCCCCCGTGTGACCGCCCCCCCGTGTGACCGGGCACACTTGCCCTGAGTGCAAAGTGTCAGGGTCGCGACTTTGTCCTTTCTGGACGAAGTCCGCCCGTGTGACCACACGGGAACCAAATGCCTAAAAAAAAACGAACCAAATGCCTCAAATTTTTGAGACTTTTCGTCCCCGTGTGAGTATGCCCTCAGTGTATGCGTACGGCAACTTCCCTACTGTCGCTGAACGACAAGTCAGCGGTGACGGCCAATCATGCACTTAGTCCACACCATTCACTCAGAAGAGCAACAACCCAACACCATAGGGCCTCGTTAGACCCTCCTTGGGAAGGCGATTTTCAGGAATTCGGCGTGGTTACACCACGTCCTAGTTCTCCGAATTCCTTGGATAAATGTGAAAACGCTCCCGAGAGATTTCCTTGGGTTCCTCAGAATCACCAGCCAAAGCGTCCTTGGATTCAAGGGGCCCTCGCGAGGTCCCTTGGGCTCAAGGAGCCGCGATTGACGGATCGCTGTGGAGTGTGCGTCGACACCGAAAATTGGAGTTGCATGTGGTCCACAGGTCGTCCGTGGTCCATCGGGCAGACAACATCGGCTTCCGGCAGGCGACAGGCCCCCAACGGCGTTGGGCCGTTACCGTTGGCGCTCGAGGGTCGGGGGGGGGTTCTTCGGCTATGATGCCGTTCATGTGGCGGGGTTCTCCTTGCGCGCGTCGTTGGGCGTGGTGTCCAACGGCCGACTTTTTTGAAATTTATTTTGTCCCTGCCGTGTGAGCAGCGCCGGCTGACTGCTGTTCTCCTCGACATCGTCCATTGCCCGGCATTGACATGCGCGCGGGAGGGATCTCCTGTCGGTGCAGATCGACAGCTGCTGCGATTCATGGCAGACGTCCTCCGACGGCTCCCGCTCCTATTACTGGCCACTCTTCTCCTGCTCCTTGTCGTCTTGTTGCGCGCCTGTGTCGCTGTACGGGGTCCTCGTGGCCGACGGAGACGACAAGTGGCAGCGAAGGCGACAACGGAAAGGCAGGAGAGCTCCGCCGGACAACACAGACATGCGGTTGAATTCTCCATTCATGAGCGGCCGATGTTGGGCCATCGTCCACCCTCATATGACCCCACGTTGTACAGCCATCTCCCGCCACACCAGCAACCGCTACCGCCGGATCCGGAAGAGGAATGGGTGGACGATCTGTCCCACACTCTTCCTCTGGGGAGTGGATCTACGCAGGACTGGCTGGGGAGGCACTACCAGCAAAGGGAAGCAGGGACTAGTCGTCAGTCGTACTCGGCAATGCTGGGGGGGGGTCTCGACGGGGGCGATACGGAGATTGTGGACTTGGATTTCGGCTTGTGAAGCGGGACGCCTGGAGTGGGTGCTAACACTTGTGCATCGAACCACATGGGCGCCACGACCGTTGCGTGGGAGTGGCGGCGGTAGGTGGAAGATCCTCCGATGTGGGTGGCACGAGAGATGGGTGTCGTCCAGCACCCTCCATTTGTGGAGGCGTGGGACCAGCTGGCGATCCGCCAAGGGCAGTGTTACCCACCCACTCCGCGACGCCTTCGCCTGCACTGCGGCCGAGGGCGGCCGCACCGGCGGCGAACTCCAACACTTCTTCATTGGAAGAAACGGGGAGGCAGGTGTGGGCGTCTTGTCGCCAACAGATGCGCCGAGCGATCGCTGACAACATAACGAATGGGGTGTCGTGGATGCGTGTGGGGAGCGATGCCGATGCGAACGACACTTGGAGGGCGAGTGGTGAAGAATCTTCAGATTCCCATTGCGAGGAGGAACCGGAAGATGCGGAAGACTTGGAGATTTGACCCGTTGGTGTGCGTGGTGGACGAAGGGGTGGATGCGGACGTCAACAGAGGCGGTCGAGGGTCGAAGGGGCCTGTGGGCGAGAAGGGCGGCAAACATCCACCTTGGAGTGTTGAAGAGATGATCAAGCTCGCTCGAGCGAAGTGGAACAAGCAAGCTTATTTCGAAGGAATGCCACACAACTACGATCGCATCGGCAACAGGGAATGGGAGTTGCAGGACCTGCAGAAGCGTCTGGTGGAGGTGGGCGTGAAGAGGACGACGGACGACATCGGCAAGAAGTGGGATAACCTCTTCCAACAGTATAAGAAGGTGCAACGACACCAAAACGCGTCCGGGGGGGGGAACTTATTCATCTTGACGCCTGTGTTGAGAACAGAAGAGGGATTCAGGTTCCGAATGGATCAGCGAGTGTACCTTGAGATCGACAACATGTCTCAAGGCAATAAGACCATCTACCCGGATAACCTCGCCAACACGAGCGTCCGGGGAGGAGTGCAGATGTCGGGGGATACTCAACGTCATCCATCCGTTGCAGGCGAATCTTGTGTCGGGGAAGATGTGGGTGATGGCAACGACGAAGATGGAGGGTTGGCGAGGGAGTCCGGGTTTAGTGCAGGCAGCACAGGCGGCGCTGGCAAGAGAAAGAACATGCGCCGACAAACTTTTGAAGCCATCGCCAAAGTGATGGAGAAGCACGGTGCATTGATGGCGGACACTGTAGAGGGGGCAAGCAAGCGACAGTGTAGCATCCTAGAGCGGTAGTGCGACATACTCGAGCGCGAGGTCGATGCCTAGGAGCGACACTACGAGGCGTCCGACGAGGCGAACAACATGATGTGCACTGCGTTATTGGAGATCACTAAAGCAATAAGGGAGAGGTCGTGACGCCGCCTGAAGTCCTGCATCTGTGTACATTCTTTCAC